ATAATTTCGTTTGCTCTTCGCTCTGTATGCTAGCTGCCATCGGTGCTTATTTGAGAATGTACTTTTTTTTTAGTGGCAGAAGTTCTCCAAGTCTGTTGCTTCAGTCTCTCTCTCTCTTCTTCTTCTTCTTCTTCTTTTGTGGTCATGGTGTATGCATCTGTCATTCTCCTTCCTAAAAAAGTCGAGAGGCGTTGCACCTTTTCAGTGGCACTTTTCATCAATACTTTGCATTCTGTCCGTTGTATATCTTTGCTTTCACATTAAATAATAAATGCAGAAAAGTGCGTGTGCACGGGTATTGACTGTTTGTTTTCGTTGTTTGTCTTATATGTCAGAAAGCCCCCCTGTCGGGTTCCGTATCATCACCCGCACACTTTAACAGCTTGTCACATTATGCTATATTCATACCATACTAGATGGGCTCGTTCATAATAAGCAGGGCATTTCATAAAGAAGTACTTAGTGTTTTTTCTTTAAGCTCTTGCTCTGTCCTCCCTTCATCACCGTAATGAAATCTATCGACCTACATCAAAATAAACCTGTCACCGACATTCAGGAAGAACAGAGTTTATAGAAAATGCCCTTTTTCACTTCTGTTTACTTTTATTTTTTATTAAGTTGAAAACCTAGGACAACTGTGACCTGGCGGGATGGTTTATATCTCCACGGACCTGGTGTTTCAGATTTGAGAAGAAAATTCTCACGATCTTGCAATCTTTCAAATTAAGCTCGGTGTAATCATCAAATGGAGTAGGTTTTTAGGCCAAATCTCTTTTGATTGCACCTGAATGTTCTTAACCATGCCGGTGCATTAGGCGATCATTGATGTTCAGTGAGTAGTGAAAAAAACGTCACTCCTCTTCTTCTTGCTGTATCTACGTTCATTAAATATAGGATGTGACCTTATAAAGTAAAGTGTTATCATTACACTATTGCACCGGTATGGTTTATATAGGGTAAACCGTATCGTTTCACCTGCTCAGGCTATGATTTAACCCTATGAAGAGTATATCCCACCACTTTAAAAGGAGGTGCAAGCAAGCTTCCAACCATCCATCCCCGTAATTCTTAAACTTCTCGTTCATGAGCGTCAAGTTGGCTCTTATTTCTTGATATTGTACTTATCGCTTAATAGAAATCATATTTACAAGGTGTGTCCAGACAGTAACGACTTTTGAACAGCGAAAGGGCATCGTCCTACGTGATTAGGTGATCGAAGAATAAGTTGTTGCAACTTGAAAGTGCGAATATTTTCGTAATAATATGCTTAAATAGTCGATATCATCGACCACTCACAGTGAAACACAATACCCGAGCAAAAGTACGATAATGGTCATTTTAGCGAACATAGCATCGGTACAAAACATCACGTTCTACAGTGTGCCTCGTTGTAGCCCCAACGCAGCCGGTTAAAGAGCGAGAACGTGTCGGCTGAATATTTTTAAGATTGGTACGAGAGAAATCTGCCTATTTGTTTCAATTGATTTACGTGTGCATATAATAAAAAAATGCTTACTAGAGGGTGCCAAGTTGCGGCAGAAGCTTGCTGTTCTACGTGACATTATTTACTAGATACGTGCGAAGCAGCTCTTTGACTAGCCTGTGTAACGCTGTCCCTCCGTACGAACGCGCCGCGCGCTGCAGGTATTGGCGTGGTGCCAAGTAGGTCACGCCGCTACTGCGCGTTACCGCCATGCTCTCCTCACAGTGAACGCTTAGGTCACTCGCTTCCTCACCTGTCGCGCGCTTACCTCGGTGGTCGCAGCTGCCACCTCGTCCGTTCGCCCGCAACGCCTGCCGCGAGCACCGCTCACTACACCGCCGACTCGTTGGTTCACGCGCAATAAACCTTACATGCGCCTAACGTACGCGTTGAAACATGTCTGTACGTGTCACCTATAAGATCTACGCCAGAAATCGCTTCAAACGAATCTTTCAGTTCTCACCGCAGCACCCGCTTTAGCCCCGTTCAACCCGTGACACCACCCGCGCTCAACGTTGCTGCTTCGCATCCCATCAGGGTGCCCTTCGGGGAGATTGGGATTGGATAAACTTTTCTTCGGGGAGATGGTCCAAGTTTATTTTATTTTATTTTATTTTTACGTACCCCAGGCATGTAAAAGGGCTATTGTAAGAGTGGGATTATGCAGTGGAGAAAACGTCGCAACAGGCAGAAGTTCAGAAAACAACTGTTCGTCCCTTCAGAACAATATTGGAAAATGTAACTTTTGATTGAATTTGCACATGATTCAGTTTGCACAACCTCCCAAATCTTTCTTACGGATTTAATTAGGAGGTACCGATATCAGAGTGATCGGTGCCTCATCTGTTCTGCTCAGTGCCCTCCCTTAAGGAAAACCAAGAAACAATTGTTCGCAAAATAAAAACAAACAATAATAGTAAAATAAAGAACCAGCGCCTTCGCATTTACACCAAAAGTGCCAAGTGCGGGCAAAGCGCAGACAGCATAAGCAGAACACGTCTCTCTCTCTCTCTCTCTCTCTCTCTCTCTCTCTCTCTCTCTCTCTCTCTCTCTCTCTCTCTCTCTCTCTCTCTCTCTCTCTCTCTCTATCTCTCTCTCTCCCTCTCTCTCTCTCTATCTATCTATCTATCTATCTCTTTCTTTCTTTTTTTTGGGGGGAGAGGGTGCTAGAGTTTACTGCTACGTTAGCCTCGGCTTTTCTCTCCCCCATTGATTGCAATGTACCGTATTTTTACGGCTATGAGCGGCATGTGGGCGATTTCTTTTTATGAGGACCTGTAATCAACTTCTGACCGCCCAGAGGGCTTGTGTCGTCGCCAAGAGTCATCATCTCTCGGTGCCGCATGGATGAAGCCACCGACTTGACTGGGGAAGTCTCCTGGCCTCTTAATTTTGTCTCTCGACATTCCAATAGAGCTTTCTGTGTGTATTTATGTAAGGCACTGGCTCGTTTTGGTAGAGACACTGGATTTAACGACCCTGTGAGTATCTATCCGTAACGTTCCTTTTTGTATCAGTTGGATATCACCGTCTTTACGATGGTTTAATGGTACCTTCATAAGCTCTCTATAAGCTTTTTTTCTCTTTCAATCTTCTCCATTCTAGTACTCCTCATTTCCCCTTTAAGTGCTAGACACCAAACTAGATACCTCCTCTGACTATCGTCCTGTCTTTGTCCGTAATCGTTAGCAGAGAGATTGATTTTCTTCGTCATCTTCAGCTTATTTTACATCCACTGCTGAACCTCTCAATGATCTCCAGTTGGACCTATCTTGTGCGTGCTGATTCCATTTGTGCCTACACGCGAGCTTCTGGATTTCGTCCCTCCATCTAACCACCTGTCATACTCGCGTACGTTAATTTCCTATCCCTCGTTATACATTCCGTCGCCCTAACTGTGACCATCGGTTATCTGCGTTTCGCATTGCGTGGCCTGCCCAGGCATTGGCGACGGCAGATTTTTGTCTCGGGGAGTGCTAACTCAAGGGGAGAGGGGGAGGGGCAGTGGTAGAGTGCCCTGTTGAAGAGAGGAGATGAGTGCTCATTTCACCCCCCTCCCCGTCAACGCCCATCTCAAATCCGCATTTTTGCAGGCTTAATATCACCTGGAATATCGACTGCTCGTGCTTGTTCTCTCTATAATCCACTCTGTTGTCTTCCTGTACAAACTACGCCTATAATCTTGATGATGATGATGATGATCTTTGATACTCTGGCGCACACCCACAAAAAGGGATCGGCCAAGAACCGGGCGGCAGGATTTTAACTAAAAGGCTTATGGTTTTTCAAACACAACGTAATTTTGGGCTGAAAAAAATATATAGAAAGAAAAGCCGAAAATCGAAAAAGGAGTATATCTGAGGAGGGAGCGATGCAGGCTATCAGATGCGATTTGAGACAGAGGTAATGGTGGGTCTAAAATGATAATCTTTATGATCGCTGGTTGAGCGGCTCCTAACTTGTTCCTTAAGTACTATACCTACAGCCAGGCTAGAGTTGTGAGTAGCCCAGACTGAATATGTTGTCAACAGCAGGGATGTAGTCGTCGAATGAACAGTGGGGTACAACTTCAGAAGACGAGAGAGGCACCGGCAACTGATCTCCTCCGCATCTAAAGAAATATAGGCGATGGCCTCCGATGGAGGATTCACACACACCGTCCGGCTCATGACGTCACTCCAAAGCCCGTTCTTATGGGGCCGGCTTGTGTGCATCCGTCTTTGAGATTGAAATTCCACTGCCTTCTCATGTTATGCAGAGGTTAACACACTTGTCTTGAACAATGAAACGGTGTACTGCGGACTCCATAAACGATATTTTCCGAGTACACCTGGTTTGTAAAAGCCTAAATCAGACTGCACCTGGCAGTTAAGGACAATTACTCCATATCTCAAACTACTGGCTGTCGGCATTAACGGTGGTGTAGCGTATTGAAACGTGCAAGAGCATGCCACTCGAGCGTTTCATACAGGTGTGTTCATTTCTGTTCGTGACTCACGTTTAGTGGCGTAGCCAGAGGGAGGTGGGTCAAGGGGTTCAACCTCTCTTCAAAATTTTTCAAATTTGCTCTCGAATATATACATGCGCACGTACGAACAGACGCATGGACATACATAGAAGTATAGTTGAACTCCCACCCCCCTCCCACCCCCATCCCCCCATTTTCTGGCTAAGCCACGGCTCGCATTTATATTCACCTAGCATGTGTTCAGGCCACATCTAAATTACCATGCAGTGGGTGAGACGGACTACAGACGGGAAAATGCGGCATGTATACGCACGTTTTTAGCTGTCTCACCATTTGAAGTCATGCTGTACCGCGCTTCAACGGTTGCCGCACTGTTCAGAATGACGACCATGGTGAGTCTTTTTGTCGACTTTGGAGGAACCGCATGGTCTCACAAAAGACTCCCTTCTCGGAAACTCGCTTTGACACCGACCGCCGAACCACGCTCGTTTTATTATCTCCAGCGTTTCACTTTTTCTGTTGACAAGCTTTTCTTGTCGGCTTTCGCAGAAATTCGTGGTCGCAACAAAAGATTTCTCGTTGTCGATATGACTCCTTCGGAACTGGAGCATCAGCGGCGACAGCAGTGAGAAGAACTGGGCGAGCACGAATAACGCTGTCGTGAAGCAGTGCTAGTAGAACGACTTGTTTTTATTTTTTAATTCTAGGAATATTTTAGATATGTGACGCATTGGGTGAGGTTGCACCGCTTCTTCCAGGAGAAGGGCCCACAAGCAAGCAGATGAATTTGCAGGATCCGCCGGGATAAAATTTGAAGCAATAGCGGACACAGACACCAGTGGCGGCTGGTGCGAACACAGTATACGACACTGTTGTTGTTACCTCACAACAGCTTTCACTGTAATAATCGCTTCCTCTCGCCTGCAGGCATGTAACCAAAAAAGTACAGCTAAACACCACGTTTCATGCATAATGATGCACAAGAAAAAGTACCAGAAAAAGTGCAACTGTATCAAAAATAAGTTTTTTTAAAATAAGAATAGCGACACAGAAGACGCGAATTGCACTAAAGGAATTGTTAAACGTACCCATGTTCGCACGTTGAAAAGAAACACTCACTCACTCAATAGATCGATAGCTTGCTCAATCGATCAATCGATCGATCAATCATTCAATCAATCAATCAATCAATCAATCAATCGTTTTTGTTCGCAATACGCGATAAGAAAATCTGCGAACAAGCTTGTACACTCCTGGCACGTTGAAGATCTAAGCTTACACAATGCGGAGGACATCGACAGGTGCGGAGAATGGAAGTTATCACCACAGCGCCGTGGTTAGCGCCAGCCTGCTTCCATTTCTCATCGCGAGTGAACGAATAAACCGATGCAGCTTGTAGTCGAATGCCCGTTGGTATTTAGTCAGCACCTAAGCTATACGCGAATGCTTGAGGAACGAGATTATCGATCACTCTCCGAACGAGGTTCTGGATCTGTTCAGCGGCACTCGAGATCAATAGACGTCCCGCTTAGCATGCAGTGGCTAATGCGGTCATCCATTCCAGCAAGTATGTTTACGCCCAACGAGAGTGGTGTACTTGCAAGCCATGCTGCTCGAACCGTCGTCAGGGCATTCTCGAAACGGCGCGCGACGCGGTTGGTAAAAATGCGAAATATAATTGTTTTCCAGCTGAAATTGTTGAGAGGCTTGCTCTGATAGTGTGGCGCCACTTGAACAGATTTGGTACACTTAATTGAAGTGCTTGAATACACTGCACTGCATCAATTGCTGGATTGGTTGCCTTTTGATCTTATTGCTAATGCTGTTTTTTTTTTTTTTAAATCTATTGCTTCCAACTGCCATCGTATGCTTCTTGGAAACTGGGCAGCGCGTGTGTGGTGAGACTGAGTAGTAAGTACTACGATTCAGATGCACGGAACAAAGAACATAATATATAATACGGTGTAAAACATTCACATTCTTGGATAGCCTCAATAGATTTCATATCTAATTACAAATGAACTAACAAACAACTACACACGACAAAGAAAAGGAAGTTGATCAGGAGGCCCGCATTTCGTTCAACACAACCATATGAACGGGTTGTTATTAGGGGCCAGCAAGAGAGAGGTCTCGGGTGAATAGTTTGGTAGCTGTGAAAAGTATTCGTTTACGTAGATCGATCAATAGATAGATAGATAGATAGATAGATAGATAGATAGATAGATAGATAGATAGATAGATAGATAGATAGATAGATAGATAGATAGATAGATAGATAGATAGATAGATAGATAGATAGATAGATAGATAGATAGATAGATAGATAGGTAGATAGATAGATAGATAGATGTGGGCAGCTTAACAAGACAAAACACCCAAATCGCTACCCTCTATTTTGGATTGGGTGAGGGGGTTTGTAAGGTAATAAATTCGCGTTTTTGTTTTTCGTGATCATGTTTGCAACTTACAGCTCTCACATTCTTATTCTACAGGACATGTTGAATTACTATAATGACTACAGATGCTAAAAGTTTATTAATTAAAGCCTGTATATGGTCAAGTGGTTAGGACTGTGAAGAACCCAACATTGTAGTAGGGAGCGCTTTGATTCAGCAGCAGTGCTTTGGGGAAAAGACGACCGACATCATGAACACAGAAAATCATGGTGATTGCAGTCGTGGAATCACGGCCTCCGTCTCCAAGGGCCTCGGTGATGAGTGTTTTTATTGCATCTTGTCGCCTGACGGCCAACGCCATCCGTCATTTTTTAGCAGACGTATACGGTATCCATTTACCATGTTGGTTGCGCCACCTTGAGCAGAAACCAAGACGGCAAAGCAACAGAGCGGCTCGCATCTCATGTTGCGCGCACACACACACAAACAGACACACACACACACACACACACACACACACGCGCGCGCGCGCGCACGCACACACACACACACAAACACAAACATACACACAAACACACAAACACACACACACACACACACAAACACACACGCGCGCGCACGCACGCACGCACGCACACACACACACATACACACACACACACGCACGCACGCACACACACATACACACACGCACACACACACACACACACACACACACACACACACCAGCTTGCGTACGCTTTCACAAGTGCAAGTATATATACTTCCACGCACAAGCCCCGTAAAACACGCGCGCACATACATATGCACTCACACCTCCTCGATTTCAAACGCACGCCAATACACACGCAGACACAGTCGCAACAAGCCTCGCGCGCAGCATTGCGGGCGGCACCGGGCAGGCATTGTTAGCACCTGGGCACAAGCCCATCAATCGTCGCCCCAGGGAGCGCTCTTGAAGACGTCTTCGTGGCTAACGGCAACGCGGAAAAAAGAAGAGAGGCCCGACTAAAAAGGAGCCCACGTGGTCCAGGACGCCTCGAGGGGATTGCTGTCACTCGCGGGATGCTGTGCCACCCCGTGTGTCGTGAAACGGGGCAAGCGTATCGTCGCACTACTCCTTCTCCTTCCGCACTGGAATGTCGTCGCTCGTGCATCTGTTTATTCCTATGCGGCCGTTTTACCAGATGCTCCCTGCGAGGTGCGGCCTCCGTTCGCCCGCGTCCCATTCAGCGAACGACGCCCACGGTGCGACGCCGGTCTTCAGATTCCAAGCGCCCGTGCGACGACGGCTTGGTTGGCGATGGAGGCCACGTCTGCTCCTTCTGGCTGACGGCGAGAGATCGTAGGTGGCGAAGAGCGCGCTTCGCATGGTGATTCGGCTCGCGAGTTTGTAGTAACATGGGCGCGCCGTGGAAGGTGCAGCGAAAGCGCCGTCAGAGTTTTCGCGTCTATAGCGCTACCACGCGAAGCAGCTTGCGTGACGTCAACAATGATTTGTCAAGAGAGCGGTTCATCATACCACACCAGCAACCAGATATTGCATGTACTAATGAATTGATTGGTTGAAACATGTCACTAACAACTCGTGTTCTATTTGATTTAAATTGATTGTAATAATTGCATCATTAGCTTGGTCTTCCGTACGGCTTTTTCCAAGAGCGAAATTCACGTGCGTTGCCATGGTATCTTAGAAAGACGACGTTGAAAAACAATGAATTACAGACAGGCTTCGTCATAATAGGCCTCGAAAATTCCCAAGGTGTGCGAAGGAGTGTGAAAGTTCCAATTTACACCCGTAGGTTTGCACCATCCATCCATCATTTCTTTCTTTTTTTCCACGAACATTGTTGCACGAAGGATCAAAGAGAGGGTGAAAATAAGTGGCGCAATTTTTGTAGCGTGTCTTTTCCACACAATTCATCGCATACTTATTACAAAAAAAACAACAACTGAGAAATATTATTTAATGAGTCATTCGCTGACACTCATCTGACCTTGTATGACCAGAGCTTTTCTTTGTTTTTCCAAAAAAAAAGCATTTCATTTTTATCCTTAATCGAAGAAAGAACAACATGAATCTTCAATTGTACGCACAAATTTTATTCTTTCAAAAGCACTTTGACTTGTGTTCTGTGTGTCTCCTATGGTCTACGTCTAAATCGCGCTGAAGCCTATCCAAGTTTATTCTTCACCGTTTTTTGGTAGTTGGCCATTTATGTACATAATACTTTTCAAACATGAAATATAAAACAACAATGCTTTGTCACCATGAAATTAAGATTCTCACACGCTGCTGATATCCACACTCCTCCTTTGCTGTAACACTGAGGCATACAAAAGGTTAGTCACGAAAGGCCCTGGCATCCCATATCAAAGCTGTCTTGGAGCCGTAATTGAGGGACCTCTTACTCGCCCTGTGCTAAGTGATGAGTTATTTTCATCCTTTTATGCGCTCTATATAGTTTGTGGCAGTCACGATATATTACAAGGAGCTGTTCCAAATGACGACCTCCAGGCGTGATGCTGGCACGGAGTTCAAAAGCGTGACTACTGTGCAGGCGGGCCTGAATCAACACATTTAGAAATACGTAAAGGGAAAGCTATAGACGATTCTCAGAAGCAAGCCACCCAGGATGCAGTGCTCGATGTTCTAATTCTGTCGATTTTTCAACGTTTCCAGGTATGGGCGATGGCTCGCCCTTTAGCGCGCCCGACCACTCTCCCTCCATCATGTCCGGCCTGTCATTGACGAAGCGGCTGTGGAATGTCACCCACCGCTGCTACACCGCAAGCTGCCACGCGCGCACTCCATACAGCCCCTCCGTTACACACACGCGCACTCAAGCCTGCGCGTGCACGCAAACGGCGCGCAGATGCCCCGGCGGGCAACTTCTTTCTTCATTCATCTGTGGCGTCATGCTCAGCACAAGTCGCGAAAAAAAAAAAAGATAGTAACAAGAAAGGGGGGCGAGTGCTGAGTTTGAATGGTAGCGAGGAAGATGAAGCAGGGGCGGCGACGAATGTTGCTTCTTCTGCGGAGAGAAACGCGCGGACGGAAAGAAGCCGGGGAGACCGGAAGTGGCCGCTTCCGCCGGCTTCCGACGCTTGCCTGCTCCAAGTCGCGAGCGGCTTCGTGGCCTCGAAGTGCGGCTGCTGGCTGCGCCTCGCCGACGCACTCATTCGTAGTGGCGTCTTTTTTTTTTTTCTTTTTTTCCACATCTCGGGCC